ATAAGTCTGAATAATTGTCTACTGTTAACTACTACTGCTGCCTTTTCCATCACTTTTGCTTTCTCTGCCCACCGCTGCTCACGATCATTGCTTAGGCTTTTGATCCGTCTACATGTAAGCTGCTCTCACTCCTCATCGTGTTTGGAGTTAGACGGATGAGTTTCTGGGCATCTATCAGTTCAGTGGACTCTACGGAAATCCATTGACGTTTCTCAACGCTTTAGTTTAATTTACTGATAGATATTACTGCTGTTTATAAATTTGTTTAAATATCATACCAAGCTACCTTGGAGTGGATATCACTTTCATGGTTAGTTAACTGATTTTCTATATGCTGCTGAAATGTACGCTTGACTGTTTCACCATTAAGTCGAACTCTAAGAGGTCTTCTTGCTATGACCTTTATGTTTTCAGTAAGATACAGACAAACATGTGTTCTCACTAGGATATGATCAAAGTCTAGACATGTGCTCTATAATGAGCGGCTGTCTATTATCGAGCCTCTCCAATAATGACTGGTGGCACTGTGATCCATTTGAATCCGTTGTTCATTCGGTTGTGGGTGTCGCAGTGTCAGACAATGTCTTCCCTTATGATTGGAGTTGATGTTTGCTAGAAATGAACGGTTATGTGAGCATAGTTGGAGCAGCCTGTTGGCCATGAAGACGTGGGAGTGTGGTGACGGAGGCTAAGGGACAATAGTTTGAGGTCGGTAAAACATGACCCTTTTTATGAGAGGTTTATGATCTCCTAGCTGCCTACTTCCAAAGGCCTTGGCACTGAAGACGTAAATCCGTGGTGTAAGTTGTAAAATCATTTCAGAGTCGATATTTCCTAATTTCTTCCCTTCGCTGTGAGAAGGCATCATTGCCGTAGATGCTGGTTTTCTGAAGAAAACACTTTACTGTTATCACACGACTGTACAATTAGCAGTATGACTTCTCCTTCAGACCTGAGGTTACTAATTTCATACTGACCGTTCTCCAAACCGACCTGCATGTTATGATAATACCTAAACGAACAAGTATTACAGCCCATATAAATCGATTAAGTGACCACGATATGCAAGCCCAACCACCATATCCATTTAGCAGTTACTGTTTTGATGTCCTTATTTTTGCTAACTGTGTTTTATTGTTAACTTTGTAGGTGTTGTTTTAGATGAAGAGAAGAATGTTTCGAGAGATAATAGCGAGATGTTGAAGTTACCAGTGTCCTCTCTACAGGCATTGTCACCGATCCCTTACCGTTATGAAGATGATGTTGCGATTCCAGACGGTATGTGTTTTTTCAGTCGTTGTGGTTGTTTGTTTATTGATGTTTGACGTGCGTTTGCGTTTTTTTGCAGTATATGATTTTGGGTATTTGGTGTTAGATACTAATATTTTTTTCTACAAATTGTTGAGTTGTAGATTTAGTAACATTTTTTGTATTTGTAAAGGCGATTGGGTATTGAAAGTGTTAATTCATCAATGATGTTTTGAGGGAAGGTAGTGAGTGAATGTGTTTGGGGTATTGCCAACCATTCTCAGGCTTGTTATCCATAGTCTCTTGCAATTGGTTACGATAATTACGCGACCACACATAGGTATTCTACAGTGATTAATATGAATCAGTCTAATTATCAATGGCTTCATGGGCTAGTGACATGGCTTCTCTTGGCCCCACCTAGCTTTGTCCTGGTCTACTTGTATACTGGACAATATCGCTCGTTGATTTAGGCGATGATTGGACATAGGCGAGACATATACGAACCACCTCAGCCGATGAATATTCACTTCCTGATCAATCGATTTGGCAATCTGTACTTAGTATCCTATGCGTAACTTCAGCATTGCTCACTCGGCAGACAAAAATGTATGATCTGTGTATCGATTCACCTATGATCGAATAATAGTGAGCTGAGAACATTCTCTGTTCTTATTGACTATGTTTGACACCCATAAAGTAGAACCAAGCGAATTGTTGATTAGTAAACTCGTCCTTTGATTGACAGACTAATATCTCACCCACTTCGTGAGTGACACAAAAGCCGACCGAACGTTTTGATTCCGTGTCGTGGTTTCATCAAATACCTATTCATCAGGACTGATGAGACGTCCAAGATAAATTATAAGTGATCGACATGCTCAGCTACTTCACTCCCTATCATTAATGCAGAGGTTGACGCAGCCCAGTTTTGAATTAACAATTTTGATTTATAGGGAGAGAATCGCGTCTTAAACATGCTCGCATTATTGCTTAAGGCAACAGTGGTCTCAATATCTTTTCAGCGTCTTTACCAAACAGCACGATATCACTTGGGTATTCAAAATCAATAAGCGGATCTTCTGGTAGAAGACCGACCTCTGAAAAGTCAGACTATGAGAGTATTATTTTTAAAAGGATATCGATGACGAAGTTAAATAAGAGTGGAGAAACTGCACAATCCTGAGGAACACTACTTGAGGTTGACAGTTCTCGATAAGCTTTAACTTGACCAATAGTGTTGAAGTGAAGAACCTCTACAAATTTGATGTACTTGTTTGGTATGCCTTTTAATGACAAACACTACCACAGAACCTCACATTCGACAGGGTCGAAAACTGCCTTAAAGTCTAAGGTTAAGAAATACACTGTAGTCGGATGTCGGGAAGTATGTTTATGTTCCAGGACTTGACAAAGGGTGGATATTTGGTTGTTACGTTCACGTCTAGGTTTGAACCGAGTCTGACTGTCCCGATTTCTCTCTTCACGAGCCCTGGTTATTGGGGGAAATATATTAGGTGTTATATTATTCAAACAGATTCCTTTGTGGTCACGACTAGGGAGATTTCTGTGCTTTCTTATAAACTGGGAGAATCAACGATCGAGACCAGTCAGATGGGATTATGTCTAATTCCCATATTCTAATTATGATCTCAGTCGATCTGACTGGCAAACTAGACTACTATCTTTAGAGATCTCCAGAGCTAACCCATTTGAACCTGCTGCTCTATGTCACTTTAGATTAGTTATAGATTTTTCAACCTCACTAAGAGTTTGAGGGCTGATGTTGATTTTCCTTTCAGGCTGTTTGGCGATAGTGGGTAACTGAAGGGTAGCAGGAGGTCAGTTGAACTGTTGCCTAAAATATTCGGCATATCGGTCTAATCTCATGGGTTGAGAGTGAATAATAGTCTTGAGATAGTCTCACTAACAGCCGGATTATTAAAACCTGTTCGCTTGATAAGTCTGAATAATTGTCTACTGTTAACTACTACTGCTGCCTTTTCCATCACTTTTGCTTTCTCTGCCCACCGCTGCTCACGATCATTGCTTAGGCTTTTGATCCGTCTACATGTAAGCTGCTCTCACTCCTCATCGTGTTTGGAGTTAGACGGATGAGTTTCTGGGCATCTATCAGTTCAGTGGACTCTACGGAAATCCATTGACGTTTCTCAACGCTTTAGTTTAATTTACTGATAGATATTACTGCTGTTTATAAATTTGTTTAAATATCATACCAAGCTACCTTGGAGTGGATATCACTTTCATGGTTAGTTAACTGATTTTCTATTTGCTGCTGAAATGTACGCTTGACTGTTTCACCATTAAGTCGAACTCTAAGAGGTCTTCTTGCTATGACCTTTATGTTTTCAGTAAGATACAGACAAACATGTGTTCTCACTAGGATATGATCAAAGTCTAGACATGTGCTCTATAATGAGCGGCTGTCTATTATCGAGCCTCTCCAATAATGACTGGTGGCACTGTGATCCATTTGAATCCGTTGTTCATTCGGTTGTGGGTGTCGCAGTGTCAGACAATGTCTTCCCTTATGATTGGAGTTGATGTTTGCTAGAAATGAACGGTTATGTGAGCATAGTTGGAGCAGCCTGTTGGCCATGAAGACGTGGGAGTGTGGTGACGGAGGCTAAGGGACAATAGTTTGAGGTCGGTAAAACATGACCCTTTTTATGAGAGGTTTATGATCTCCTAGCTGCCTACTTCCAAAGGCCTTGGCACTGAAGACGTAAATCCGTGGTGTAAGTTGTAAAATCATTTCAGAGTCGATATTTCCTAATTTCTTCCCTTCGCTGTGAGAAGGCATCATTGCCGTAGATGCTGGTTTTCTGAAGAAAACACTTTACTGTTATCACACGACTGTACAATTAGCAGTATGACTTCTCCTTCAGACCTGAGGTTACTAATTTCATACTGACCGTTCTCCAAACCGACCTGCATGTTATGATAATACCTAAACGAACAAGTATTACAGCCCATATAAATCGATTAAGTGACCACGATATGCAAGCCTAACCACCATATCCATTTAGCAGTTACTGTTTTGATGTCCTTATTTTTGCTAACTGTGTTTTATTGTTAACTTTGTAGGTGTTGTTTTAGATGAAGAGAAAAATGTTTCGAGAGATAATAGCGAGATGTTGAAGTTACCAGTGTCCTCTCTACAGGCATTGTCACCGATCCCTTACCGTTGTGAAGATGATGTTGCGATTCCAGACGGTATGTGTTTTTTTCAGTCGTTGTGGTTGTTTGTTTATCGATGTCCGACGTGTGTTTGTGTGTTAGAGAGTGTGATTGATTTCAGGTTGAAAATGGAGGTTATCATGTGAGCACATAGGTGTGTGTATGTGTGCATGTACATATATATATATATATGAACAAAGAAATGTATATGTATATGCGTCTTTCAGTGATATTATCACCATGTATCGTGTTGTTTATGCTTACTGTGTTTGATTGTTGGTTTTGTAGTTGTTGCTTCAGATGGAGCAAAACATGCTTCGAGTGATGGTATGGTGATGTTGAAGCTACCAGTGTCCTCTCTCCAGGCATTGTCACCGATCCCTTACCGTTATGATGATGATGTTTCTATGCAGTGTCAGAATTTATCGCCTTATGTGTTAAATTTCTGTGATTGTTTTGTAGGATTTTGAAATTTTGTTATTGATTTATTTTTTTTCGTAGTCCTTTATGTTTTTTTTTGGAGATTGATTTTTGCCATGTTTTTTTTGCAGGTGTGTGTTCTTCTTTGGTTTGGAATAATGATCTTCAGGTAATGTTTTATCGTTTTTATCAATTTACTTGTGTGTGTCAAGTTTGTTTTGTCTACTCTTATCGCGGTGTTATTATATTTTCGTTTGTTCTTTAGAATTCTTCAAGAAGTTTATCAAATTTGCCTATCATACCTAAAGGTCGTCCGAGTGTGACATTCGCACCAATCGTAGGTAAGTGTTTTTGACTTACTCAATCTACCGTTCCGTTGTGTACCTTCTGTATAAATGATTTATTTTGAGTGCATAACCAGGTTTTCGATGTGTATTAATTCACTAGCTACGTCGTGATTATCGGTATTCTGCTTTGGTATGGTTACATATGTTTTAGTGTCATATTTACAATATATGAGCTGTTTATTTTGTTGGACATTGTATTTTTTGTGTTCATAAGTTTGTAAATAAGTCAAATAACACTCGCAGTTGAGTAATACATGTATTCATTAAAGTAGCTGAATCATTTTCCAACTATGTTATCGTCATTCCGCTTTATTGCATTTGAAATTTCCTTCTTATTCACTAATTTGACAGTTTGTGTCATCAAAATATTGTTCTGAATTACTCTCATGAACTAGTCGATTGGTTATTACGTTATTTAACAAATTAAAATGTTCATGCGAATCCATTTGTTGACTGTATAAATATTGAAATATCTGACATTTTATATTTCAATAAAAAAATGTGATTGATCGTTTACAAGATAGAATTTTCTAGTCATTACTTTTATTCCTGAGTATTTAATTCATATCACTTTTTAAGCTTGTAAATCAGAATTTTGCTACCCAGTGTATGGTATTCCGTCTATATCCAGTAATACGTCCTGACAAATGCAGTTAATTTTGAGCTAACGTAAGCTTTTTCTTCTATGACTCCACCGATTCCCATGCCATCTATCTTTAGCCTTGTGTCAGAAAAAAGCAGCCAAATTCCTATTATTATATCTCAACATAAATTATCAGACCTCAGCACACTTCAATATGAAGTCGTACTGTACATACAATCATGCCATAAGCATATGTGCCTGGTCCTACGTTGTAGTTGCCTGACTGCCATAAGCAGCAAAGAGCAAAGCAGACGGTACATAGTGGATTATAATAATCTAGATACACATCACAACAGTTAATTCGTCCACCGGGAGCTTACAATAAAGAGACTACAGAGATAAAATAACAGTTGTCTACTAAGTTTTTTTTTACCCCAGTGAAAAGATAAATAACAATAATCTGTCACTCAGTCCTAAGAGTTACAATCTATTCGATACTCGTTCGATCAAAACAATTACTGGAATGAAACTTAAGTTTACAATACTCGTCTCTTTTTTCTATCATTCAGCAATGGAATGATGTAAGGATAAATATTTTATTTAAGCTGACCTTCACCATTTGACTAATATCTACTGTTTTAAAGTTTCGTTTAGCATTCTTTTTCTTACCAGAAACAACCGGTATTTCTAATACATTACATTCGATGAATAACTTTTCTAAGATATGCTAAGTTATACTGAAGGACTGCTAATTTTACATAGTCTGTTTTAATAAATGCACGAACTAGACCACTAAGGCTTTGGTATAAATTGACAAAAAATCTGGGAAAGTTCATGAAATACTAAAGGATATTTATGAAGATAACAAGGTAAATAAGAAAGCTCTTTTTAAGCCAATAGTAGTGACAGCCACAAGGATGAATATCGACTTTCTTTGTTCGTGAAAACATTGGACGTGTGTGATCTCTCTTGCTTTTTGTTCACCGTTTCACGATTGTAATGATTTCTGACAAGCTGAATATGGGAACCCTTATCTATATACAAATTTTCACAAATACACGGGACGAAAAACGACTGGAAAATACCACTAGGGTTTTGAGCAATGGAAATGTAAACGGGACAAATTTTGAACAGTAAAGTGTTTTTGACCTTATTCGAACTTATTTATTAGACAAACAACGTAGTGAAGTTCAGTTCTTGAATTTTAATCCTAGAAATAATTAAGTGGTGCTAAATTCTACTTTAAAAGACTTCTTCGATTGTTATAAAAACACTACTTTTATTTACATAGTTACAAATCAAAATCTGACATCCTCTGTCTTTTTTTTTCATGAACAGTATATTTTGATAGTCCAGATAATTCTCAACCCAGAGTATCTGTTGGTCCGATTGCTCATGAGGAAAGTGATCTTGCTCATTTTGATTGCGAACTGTCGGAAAAGCTAATTCATCAAGAAGGTTCCTTGGTAAGCCATGTACTTTCTAAATTTTATTACCTTTGTCAATGAAATGTTTCTGGCTTAATGAATTTTTTGTTGAGTTTTAGAAAAACTTGATGGTTTCCGTGTTAAATGTAGTTCTTGAGAAACTTAATTATCAGAAATACTTCAAGTTACTCGAATATCTTTTATCATTGAATTTATCCAGTTAAAATTATTGAATTTAACTGAAAATTACGATTATATTGTGCTTTAAATTGATCCTTCACCGAATTATCTACTCACACCTATATTAAATAAACTACATAATTTGACAAGTCAACACGATTGACTAAAAATTCAAGTTTATTTGGTGTTATTAACGTTGGCTTTTAGCATTGAATTATTCAAACTGTTTTAGATGAATCATTTTGTCATATAATTCACAAGTTCAATTTCTCTGTTATCGTTCAAATGAAAAGTTTTGGTGACATCACTCAGTAAGAAATAAGTTAAATTTTACAATCGTATAACCTTATCTAAAAGGCCTAGTTTTGACAATCTGTTTTTTTTTTTTTAATTCGAGTTCAACAAATAATAACTAACTAGTCACGAAATCGGATATGTTTAATACTCTTCTGATTACTAGTTTATGGCTACAAGGCATACTTCATGTAGTTGAATCCGTTTCATTCACTATGATCAATCCTAGACAAGAATATGCTTACTAGTTAGTGGTTTTGTTGGACATTTTTTATAAGACCATTTCTGTTGTTCACATTTTAACAATCCTAATGACAGATCATTACCTATTATAATCAGTTTGTACATTTTTGATTAATTTGGTGTTTAGTATGTTGGATTAGTTCGGTTTTTTGTATACATATTCATTAAGCAGTGACCAGATGAATCACTAGTTAAATTTTCCCAGCTTATATTAAAAGTGACGTAGTATCAATGACTTGAAGTCAGCCATTTACAATTCTTGTCTGTTGGTCGATTTTTTGTGTTCCATCTGTTTATTTCCTGTTACTGACGAAGTATCACCATCTATTGTTCGTATATATTTATTCATGTTTTCATTTGTGTTTCAACTATAGACTCAGAGTGAAAATAAAGAGAATATTGGATCCTTTTTTGAATCGACTGCGTTATCTAGCACTCAAGACTCGAAGTATCCATCTCCATCCACTTCCTCGTTATCGTTATCAAGAATTAAACTTCCATGGTGTACTCCATACGATTGCCAGTTTTTACCATTCAGTTAGTCGATTACTTATTTTTCTTATATTTCATCATCTTATTTATCATTACGATTAGGCTCACCGTTTTTAGGAGAAAAATAAGAGACAGTTTATTTGTGACCTGAATACATGATGATTTTGTAAATCTTCATTGACTGAGATGGTTGGGCCACGTGATACGTATGCCTGAACACCGATTACCACGACGCACAATGCCGACTAGTGTTGGGAATGGTTGGAAGAAAGTTAGGGGCGGACAAACCAAAACATAGAATCAGTCCGTGAAGTTACTAACTTTCTACGGCGTTAATTCTTTCTCCCTGTATCATATCCTTATATGAAGTGTTGATTTTTTACTGCCATTGAGGTAACTGTGCATATTAACTTGGTGTTGATTTTGTTGTGCTAATGAGGTGTGGTAACTTGGACCGATGCATATATGTGCTTGGTCCTACATTTAGCTGACTGACTGACATGATGACTAGTTTTTGTTATAAAATTTATTATATTCTATATTTTATTACTAGAATGTTTCTTTTTTAGGTTATAATGATGTATTCACATCAACTTTTTGCTTTCAATGTACACAATCAAATGTCTTAGTTTATCTAATGTAAACTAATCATAGTTAGCTTATTTAGGAAAGATATTTTCAGGATCAGGAATTTATTTATTATTTATTTTATTTGAACACATATATATTGGTACAGGAATGCCCCAAATATATATGCGCCACACAAAACAATGAGAATCTAAGAAGAAGAAAAAGTGAGGAACGTAAAAAATAGTAATAATAATAAACAATAACGAAGAGATTGGTGTAAGGTAGTGTAATAATAATAGCAATAGTAGGGGAACAGAAGGGTACAATCAGAAGAAATCTTTCAGTTAAGTAAGATACAACCACTTTTTACGAAGAAAGTAAAAGAAGGTTACAGCAGGATCGCCACTGGCTTCTATTCTGAGCCATATCTGATAACGTCTCTAGCCACTGTGTAGCACCATCTCTCGGACCCCAACCAGGGAGTCGTGAAGGACCAACACAAGCCAGTCCTTTGCAGCTTTCTTTCATGCCACGACACCATGTCATGCACTGACCACCTCTCCGCTTCTTCCAACCAGTCCCAGAGTCGGCAAATAATGCACGACGTGGAATTCTCTGGGACGACATTCGGAGAACATGTCCGAGCCACCGAAGTCGGTGTTTCAAGATGGTGACACCAATTGAGTTATCATCTCTGTGCCCGAACACACGATGCCGAACCTCTGCATTACTGACATGGTGTTGCCACTGAATGTCAGCAATCCTTCGGAGACAACGATGATCGAACACAGAAAGTCGTCTAACGTCCTCAACTCGGAGAGACCAGGTTTCACAAGCATAGAGCAAAACGGCTCTCACCGACGCGTTGTAAATCCGACCTTTTACAGCCAGACTAACATCACGAAGGCGCCAAAGATGGCCCAGATTGGCATAAGCCGTCTGGCTTTCACTATTCGTGCATTGATCTCATCACTCACATCCCCACCAGCACTTATGCAGCTACCCAGATACACGAACTTTTCGACTACTTCTATCTGCTCACCGTCCAGGGTGAGTACAGGATTGGAATCCTGCCAGTCTTGTAGAAGTACTTTGCACTTCGAAGGTGCAAAGCACATACCATACCTACGGACACTGATTGCCAACTGATTAAGTGCGGATTGCATGCCTTGGGCATAATCGCACAGTAAGACAATATCATCCGCATACTCAAGGTCGAGAAGTCTTTCTCCAGGCAACAGATCCACACTACCATTACTTACATTCATCAGAACTGTTTCCAGAATGTCATCGATGGCAAAGTAGTAATAGTAATAATCAGTTCACGAATAAAAGTATTTGTATTTCAAACTTTTTCTAAATGCTATTTCCTGATGTTCATTTTTTCATTGGTTGACACTGACCTATTTGTTAATTTTGTTTTTTACAAGAATCAAAACGACCTCCTACTAAAAGTTTTATACAAAGTGATGGCCATTTAAGACGTAGTAAACGACTACGTGTACCAGCTACACATGATAGGAATAAAGTAGTTGTTTATGAACCGGATAAAGATGAATATGGTTTAGTTTATCAAAAACCAATTGGATTAGCTATATTACCTGACCCAGATGAAATTAACAGACGTCAAAAATTTCTCAATCGTTTAAAACGTTGTCAAAATAATCGTACTCAGTTTTTAAGAAATGAAAAAATCAATCGAGCAAAACGCCTTCAAAAACTGGCCAAACGTTACAGATCACTGAAAGGTAGGTGACTATAAGAGCGAAATATAATAATATTTAGGTTACCAACTTATCTGTTGTTGTATATTTTCTGTAATGTTACTTTTTTTTAAATATTTTGAGTTGTTTTCATCTTGCCTGTATTCTAATTTCTTCACAGTTTATATGTTGTCTTATTTATCAAGTGTGCACTAAATCAAAGATCTATTCAGTAAACTTATTCTGAAGTATCGCTTACTGTATGAAGTACACATTACTAGATAATCATATTTCATCGTACTTGGGATGCATCATAGGACCCTGAAGTTTCTGTTCTTTTTGAACCTATGGTTGTATTATTTTCTCGCAGTTACTGGATACTAGTATCTCAGGTCAAGTGTAGCTAGTCTTTGGTGGTAGCTAGGAAGCTGAGTCTGATAGTCAATTGAAAGTAACTTTTACGGCAGCTTTTACCATAAAGTTTTAGGTGCTCATAACTAAATATTTTAATCTAAAATATATTAACAACTATGCCACTACTTCTATTTTTCTTTAAAAAGGTGCACAGAAACCTGAAACAGATCCATGTATGCGAATTCAATTGGATCCAGATGTTGAATGGATATCACATACAGAAACACAGTTGCCTATCGGGATCAATGATGCATCTCCTTTCCAACGTATGTCAAATAACAGACGAAGTATTGAATAATATTTTTTTCTTACCCAACCATATTTTGACTAAAAGTTCTTACTAACGTTAATATTACTTTGAGTAAATTAGCTTTATCGTTCTCATATTCAGAATATATTTTATATTGCATAGGTAGGTGATCTGTATTTCAGTAATCAGCGAACATTAATTAACGCTTAAACAAATAGCCAAATAGAAGTTTGATTGACAGAGATTATTTCAAATTTACTTGGTTTAAATATAATGGTGACCTACTTTTAAAACAAAAGTGATTAATAAGGATTAGGACGGATACTAGACCACACTAATTAATGTGTTATAACGCTCGATTTTTCCCCGTCTACACTAATGGGACGATAATTTACCTTAGACAAATATGTACACTAGATACCTTTCCAGTATCTATGATATGATGGGAAAAAAGTCAATTTTCGATTGATTTACTCATTATGAATTTTGTTCAAGGTTACTTCCGTTTGATTCAGTGTAATGATTACTCAATGTAGTATTTGTTTTCTTTTCTCGTATGATATTTTATTCTGTATAATATGCGATATTCTTGTATCCCATTGACATGGACTATGCTCAGTATGTGATTATATTCTAATTATTAATCAAAATGGGTCTACAATCAATATATAAATGAGTGTGTTTTCTACTAGAGTCATCGTCGTCAGTGTTTTGGGGTTAATAAATCATCACTTATGCCAGTCTTTGTGTTCTTACTTTCGCGTCGTGGGAATTGCAGTGGTCCCTCGTTCCGAGTACATGTGATAGGCGTTTCCGACATAACAATCAGCGACGACCAGATACAAAAATAGCATTAAGAGAGCCAAGACAATAAGCATTCAAACCACAAATTATAACAATCTATTCTACTGAACTTCAACACACCTCAGATCAAAAACATCTGACTAGCCTGACTGGGACGTATGTATATTTCCATACCAAAAACCGACAACAATCACAATATTATCTGTGTTTGAATATTTGATGATTCTTGAACTAATCGGTGAATTATTTAGCCTTCGAATTTATTATATTTTCTTAAGTAGTGAAACTAGTAATTAAAATAAATTGAATTGTCCCTGCTTATTTTGATGTTTGGAAAACTGTTTTGAAGATATTATGTTGAGTTACAAGAAGATATCGTCCCATATTCTTACTACAGTGAACATCAACATTCGGCGATCATTATGAAATCGATATTTTATTATTAACATTTAGTTAGGTATATCTTCTTAGCCTGTTGAGCACACCTAACTTCGGTTACCTGAAGGTCATTTTAAGATATGGTAATGGGCTATCTTAGTTCCTCTGATTATCATTCGTAAAACAAAATGTCTGTTCATTTTTGTAATAACTTTTAAATCTGATATAAGCAGTAATGGGTAGTGATTTTATCCTTAATTATAGAGGTGATATATCCAGAAAATGCACAATTTCCTCCATTCAAATTTTCTACTATGGAATACTCGAGTTACGTAGTTCCAGCTTTATCTGGTGCTTTTCCAAGTAGAACTAAGACTCGTATACCTTGTTTTGAAATGAATGCAAATCTTACGAGGATTGTCAGTAAGGAACAAGAAAGACGTCAACTTCATTATGATCCGAACGCTATAAATGTATTCAAAATGATGTCAAGTCCTCCTGTTCTTATGAATAATAACAGTTCTTACAGTCTTTATGCTGTACAGATTGCGAAATTTGCCATTCCTTTAACAAAACCTTGTATCGTATATATTCCAAAAGGTAAGTTCTTATCATAAAAATAATCATGTATTATTCTGCTTAATTTTATTTTACTGTTCACAGCTAGAATTTATTAATTACTTTAAAATGAATCATTTCTCCCTCATTTAAAGATTTCCTTGAATTAAAAATGACTATACATTCGTTATACATTATATCCCATTGATAAGATATATATATATATAATGAAAACTTAACTCACCAAATAATGAAGAACACTTTATGAGAATGACTTAAGTTGTATTCATTCACAACCATACTGAGATGATAGGTTATCCAATTGTTTTCCACACTACCTGTCTACATAAGTGTCTATTTAATAATCTGTTCAAAGACATAATATTTACAGTTCAGTAAGATCATTCTTAGACTTAAATTATGTAGTTTTCAAGAGCTAAAAATTTATCAATTTTGTTCATTTTTCTCTGACATTTATTCATTCTCTGATCAATCTTTTTGTTTCAGGTATACCGTACAAATTTTTAAATGCAACAAAAGAGAACTTAAATCTTTGTCGAATAAGATATGTTTTAACTTGATTCTTTTCTTTTAAATAATTTTATGTAATTTTATCCGCTTCACTTCTATCGTATATATCTATATATACACTTTTATACCGATTGTCATTATTTTGATTTCTCTTAAATAAATATATTTAAATGTAGTAACTTAACTTTACTATTGCTTCATATTGACTGTTTTGTTATTTTATGATTGTTATATCTTGTGGGCTGTGTGCCATGCGAATGTATAATGTAACGATACTACCAATTAGAGAGCAGTGACGCATAAATCCCGTACGAGCAGCCTAGAGTCCTGATTGGTCGTGCTTCGTGCCTAGCCCAGCCAGTTAAGTCCAGAACACCAATCTCAGCCTCGGCAATATGAATCATTTATTTCAAACATACTGGGTTTATATACCAATCAAACAGACAACACCGTACCATAAAATAGGAAACAACATTTGTACAAGATTTGGCCAAATGTGGCTGCGAGTGTGGGAGGTAGTAATTAATAGACAGGGCATAATTCAAGAATGGTAAATCGTATAATAATAGTTCATAGGCCAAAATAAAGCTTATGATAAGACTTACTTACTTACGCCTGTTACTCCTCGTGAAGGAGCATAGGCCGCTCACCAGCATTCTCCATCCAACCCTGTCCTGGGCAATGCTTTCTAGCTCCGTCCAGTTGTAATTCATCGTTTTCATATCTGCTTCTATTATCCGACGCAATGTGTTCTTTGGCCTTCCTCTTTTTCGCTTCCCTTCAGGATTCCAAGTTAGGGCTTGCCTCGTGATGCAGTTTGACGATTTGCGTAATGTATGTTCTATCCATTTCCATCGTCTTTTCCTAATTTCTTCAGCTGGAAGTTGGTTTGTTCTCTCCCACAGAAGGCTATTGCTGATGGTATCCGGCCAATGGATGTTGAGTATCTTGCGTAGACAGCTATTTATAAATACTTGTACTTTCTTGATTGTAGTTGTTGTAGTTCTCCAAGTTTCAGCTCCGTACAGTAGAACTGCCTTGACGTTCGTATTGAAGATTCTCACTTTGATATTGGTTGAAAGTTGTTTTGAGTTCCATATGTTCTCCAATTGTAGGAATGCGACCCTTGCTTTGCCGATCCTAGCCTTTACGTCTGCATCGGATCCTCCTTGTTCATCGATGATGCTTCCCAGGTATGTGAAGGACTCTACATCTTCCAGAGTTTCTCCATCAAGAGTGATTGGATTGCTGTTTTCCGCTTTGAATTTGAGAACCTTGGTTTTCCCTTTGTGTATTCTGAGGCCTACTGATGCAGAGACTGCTGCTTCACCGGCTGTCTTCATCTGCATCTGTTCGTGTGTACGTGATAGGAGGGCTAGGTCATCTGCGAAGTCCAAATCGTCTAATTGATTCTGAGCTGTCCATTGTATTCCGTGTTTTCCTTCAGATGTTGAGGTCTTCATAATCCAGTCGACCACCAGAAGAAAGAGGAAGGGAGAGAGTAAACAGCCTTGTCTGACTCCGGTCCTTACTTGGAATGCATCTGTCAGCTGTCCTCCATGCACTATTCTGCACTGTAGTCCATCGTATGAGTTCCGGATAATATTGACAATCTTCTCAGGAACTCCGTAGTGTCGAAGAAGTTTCCATAATGTTCTCCTATCTACACTGTCAAACGCCTTTTCATAATCAATGAAGTTGATGTATAGTGATGAGTTCCACTCAACTGATTGTTCGACAATATCCGTAGTGTTGCAATTTGGTCTGTGCACGGAATCCAGCTTGTTGATCTCGAAGTTGGGCGTCTACTGCATCTTTCATCCGGTTCAGCAAGACTCTGTTGAAGACCTTCCCTGGTATTCACAGTAGTGTAATGCCTCTGTAGTTTTCACATTTTCTCAGATCTCCTTTCTTTGGAATCTTGACGAGGTGTCCTTCTTTCCAGTCCATCGGCACTTGTCCCTCCTCCCAAATCTTTTTGATTAGAAGATAAAGCATGCTTGTGGTTGCTTCGATGTCTGATTTCAGTGCTTCAGCTGGTATATTGTCGGGTCTTGCTGCTTTCGCACTCTTGATTTGTCTGACGGCCATTCTAATTTCTTCCGTCGTTGGTGGGTTGACATCTATAGGATGATCTATGTGTGCTGCTTCGATGTCCGGTGGATTCATTGGAGCCGGCCTATTCAGGAGTTCCTCGAAGTATTCTACCCATCTGTTACGCTGTTGTTGAATTTCGAGGATTGGCTTGCCTTCTTTGTCTTTGACCGGCCTCTCTGGTTTACTATATTTCCTTGCTAGTTTCTTCGTTGTATCGTGAAGCTGTTTCATATTTCCTTTTCTAGCAGCTTTTTCTGCCGTCGTTGCTAGTTCTTCCACGTATTTCTTCTTGTCGGCTCTAATGCTCCTCTTAACGTGCTTGTTTGCTTCTATGTATTCAGCTTGTGATTGGACTTTCTCTGCTCGTGTTCGGCTGTTGTTTATTGCTGCCTTCTTGTTCTTCCTTTCTTTGATCTTGTCCAGTGTTTCTGTAGAGATCTATTCCTTATGATGGTATTTCTTTAGACCGAGAACCTCTTGACACGTTGAAGTTAATGCTTCCTTGATGCCTTTCCAGTTGTCCTCCATACTAGTTTCTTCTCTTATAGGGTTACTGCCGGTCCCAAGCCCGGGTAAAGGAGGGGGGTTGGGCATGGGGTTAGCGGCCCCATCCCGTAGAAAACTAACTCGCTAAAAAAACGCTTACCAGAAAAAAATAATCCAAACCATTTTAACTCTGCCCTGGGAGTTAGAAGGTCTTCATTTAGAAGAATTATGACGCTTCATGGTGAAAACCGAGTTGCTTATGATAAGAGGGACATGAATATGAACAGTTTATTTATTTAACAATTACATGATAAAAGTCTACGCATAGTATTGGTCCATAAATGGATCCTAAAAGTTACCATTCATTATGCTTATCGGGATATAACAATAATAAATCAAGATAGTAGAACTTTCCTTTAATCAATTTAAGTTAATGATTCGAAATACACAAGAAAGTTAAGTTACTGGTGTCTACGTACATTTAAGTTCTAACCAATATAAGTAAAAGTTAAATCAATAATTATTTTGTGAGGTGAAACCTAAACACTGAGTTTTAAATACTGTTACTGATAATTAATATTCATCATCACTGTATTTAATTAGCTTGAAAAATATAGTACAGTTCGGTGTACTTAGGTGACCCTACCTTGTCTAGAAAAACAATGTATTTCCCAAGGGTAGTAGGTTGCTTAGTAATCTGGATGAAGGTTAGTGAATACTGAAATGCCAAGAAAAATACGTGTTTGGATTTTATATTTGCTAAGATATAGTATAAGTCAGTTGATAATTCGTTCATGAACTGTCTAAGTGATACATTGATAAAAGGCTTGGTAAACAGTATTTCTGAAACTGGACATCATAAAGGGATTCGATTAATCCAATCTTGTTCACTATTGTGGTGTTCACTACATATGTTAACAGATACAAGTAGTAACACCAACCGAAAATAGAATGTCTGGTAGCAGAAGATTGTAATGAAGAGGACAGGGAAGAAATTTGAGAGCGATCCAAACAATAATGGAATTGGAGAAGTAGTGGAGTATGTAAAGGAAGATGTGTATAATTTCCATATTTCTCGAACTCATTCCGTAACTCGGTATTAAACAGTTAATTGCTATTTTTCATCTCAGCTCTTGTTCGCTACATTATGACTTTCAATGTCTAGCAAACATATCATTTAGGACTATTGTCAAAAATGTATACGTAACTGTCTAGCAAGGAGTTCATGGAGGTAGGTATAAATTTTGCATATTTTTTATTCTGTGCACCTAGATGGAATTCATTAGGTGTCTGGGGAGCATGTTACCAAATTTGATCATGTACTCTACAATGTTCCCTGACAGTAAGTCCACTTACATCTTCGATTGTGTTGCGAAATGTTACTCATGGACATTTTATGAGTATCTGATTGAGATTCACTTACTTGTCCAACATTGACTGAAAGTTTAGATCAATACTGTACTAGGTCCAAATCATAGAGTAACATATACAATGGGTAAAGTATGCTGGGTTTTTCTTCCGTCAACGTCAAAGAGCAAATTAGCATACCTGAAGAATTCTATAACTATAGTGAAATCAAAGTCGCTAAGTAATTTGAGGTTTTAGTGAATCATTCGACATCTATCTAATATAAGCATAAGTAAATTCTCCAGAAACATCTGTAGCGGTAAATAAATCCCCAAAATAAATAGCTCTGTAAGCTTTCTTGACATTGGATGCTGACCAGATTAGTTTTAGTGAACTCACCTAGCTGAAGGCGCTCGGTCATGCATCCGCACCAGATCACGTGTGGGAACGCCGTGCTCAACATCTACTGCAATCGCTAGCCAGACTAGATCAGACAATCCCGATATATTGGCAATCGTCAAATACAGCTTCTGATCTCCTCGATTCTGTCTTTTGATTTCTCTTGGTGGGTACGAGTTATATTAGAAGGTGTTACTGGTAAAAGCGTTGTCAAACACTGAATACCTGTGCCATCTTCACATCGGTCGGTCTAGTTTTGGTAGATATTGAACTACTCCATTTAGATATTAAGTGTTCGGAATCTATTTACGTCCTTGTACCATGGTTTTATAATTACAATGTCGATGAGATCCACATATAGTAAGGGCCAGAGCGGCTTATGCTAATCTAGTCCATCTTTGGCGCCTTCGTGATGTTAGTCTGGCTGTAAAAGTGATGTCTTGCCGGATTGAACGCTATATTCGTCTTCTAAGCTATTCCGTAACCCCCAAGCTAGAACTAAACAGTGACCTGAACACAAGAGATATGACTCAAATTATGCGATAAGTAGTTTACTCCAAGGTTCATTCCAATACAGAAAATATAGGGGTTTTTATAATATTTTAAATGTCCTTGGGTTGCTAGAAGATCCTGGAATGCTACTAAACATAGTAACAGTGTAGCAGCCAACCAACCAGAGCCTCTGCATGTGACGCTTCATTTCCTTGATATTTCTGGCCAA